GCAACACCGCAATGCATGACGATGTCGACCTTGTAGACCATCACTAGGACCCGGTACGTACCCCCACCTCATCACCGCCGGATTCGAACTCTCTCTGTGATTCAACAGCTTCACATATGCAACATCTGTGCAGCCTGACAATGTGCAAAATGAGAAGGAACCTTCCCCAAGAGCATAGGAATATACATACCTATATTCCTACTTGCTCAAAAGCGCCTGCGTTATAGAAACAGGCACACCTCCAGCACAATACAGATGGCGGCACGATTATGAGGTACGCATTCTCCCCCCCCCTTTTGACCCCTGTCCCCTCAGCCACTGAGTCGATGGCGAGTCCGTTTGGCCATGTATCTGACCTCCTACATGGTTGGGTGCGTTCCACGGGAGGACAGATGGCAAGTGCTCGCTCATGCTCCCGCCTGATATAGATCAAAATCTGGGTCATTCACAGTTCGCTCGCTGTTACTAATGGAATCCTCATTGGTCTCTCCTCTGATAATACGCGCCGGCCAGTGAGTAAGACTCCAACCCGCCAGCCCGCCTCATACTTCTTCCGCTACTGAGATCGGCAAAATTGAATGAATCTTCCACTACAAGTTGGAAAGATACACCGTCGATTCCCCAGCCCGTGCCTGCTGTCTTCATAGACCAGCTGAGCAACGCATCGGCCAACAGGTAAGTATCCGACCCTGCAGCTGGTCTCCCTCTACTTACATCGATAGGCCATACAAACTCAGAATGAATCTTCTGCTAAAATACGGAAAGATACATTTCCTCGTAAATCGAGTCTCCCTCCTGGGCGCGGGCTCTTGCGTCACCCTTGGCCAAACCACAGACCCATCGGCAAAACTATCGATGGCATCATGTTCGCACTGCCCTCAAACCCCAGAAACGAGCCCTGGTTTGCTGGATGTCGTTGAATATCGGGCGAGTAACTCATTTCTTCCTCCTCGTTCCTGCCATCTCCTCGGCTCCGCGGATGCTCTTCTCTACTAACCTCTGAAATCACTAACTTATAGCTAAAACTAACTTTAGATCTAGGTTCGCCTCACGTCAAAACCCCCGAATCGATTCCTCCCCCACCGAAATCTGTCCGCTAACGAGTACACAACGCCTTCTTCTTCTCCCTCCGTCTCCTCTCCTGCCATAGCTTCACGCACTCCACTTCTACTCTAGCTCACAATCTACTAATCTAATCCTAAAATTAACACTTCAGTCGGGGTCGCCCACCTTTAAGCCCCCGAAATCAACCCTTCGTGCGCCCGATTTGGCTAAGAAACGGACGAGTTGCGAGTTATCCACCCCACCATACCTTCTCTTTACTCCGAATGCACCCGGCGCCCCCCGCGTCCGGGTTCATTCCCACTTCTTCCCGACTAACACCGCCCAGCGCCACTACCCCACCGTGGTTGACTGCACAGCGCCTGGCCCACAGCTCCTGCTGCTAACGCAGCTCCCCACAGCCTTAGCGCTCCGAAGTGGACACCGCAACGCTGCCGAACGATACAGGCAGTAGACGGCGGTAGGAAAGGAGGTCGGATGGAGAAGTATACAATAGCTCTCCTGTCGGATCAACCAGTCTCGTAGTTTCCGCAGAATCTTCGGAAGGAACCAGCCACTAGACGGTTCGATTAGTCTTTCACCCTTATACCCGAGTCCGACGAACGATTTGCACGTCCGTGTGCTGCTGGCCTCCCCCTCGCCGGCCCTGCCGTAGCATCCCGCCTCCTGATTACGGTCGGGAGGCCCGCTATAGGCCTATGTGTGGGCCTTGGTGAACTGGGCCCAGTACGACCCCCGGCGGCAGTTGCAAATATTCAAACGAGAATTTTGAAGACCGAAATAAAGGGAGTTCCCCCACGATCCGCAACTTGCCGTGGTACCGATAAGCCAGGCATAGTCCACCAACTCGCGGGCCCCGACGGGCACGCTCACACCCAAGCCTCCCACAACAAGCCACAGGCGGCGGTGTTCCTGCGAAAACACCCACGCCATCCAGTTTTCCTCCGCCTCGTGGGCTAGTCACCTACYGGCTTGCACGCACGMTGAGCTCYTTTGCTCCGCGTTCCGCACACGTSACCTCGTCCTAATGCCAAACGAGGCGCGGCTCCGGCACAGCCACGAAACCAATTTGTAATTGCACTTCAGGCAACCCCCGCGAATACAACATATCCTCACGCGACCCTGCATCAGGTCCGATATCCCGTCCCAGAACGGGACGCGAGTAAAACAAAAAAAATAAAAAGGAGGCTAAACAAAAATCAAATAATAAAACTAAAACGGGGAACTTCTTAGCGGGCAGCCCTACGAATCGCCGCACTCGTAAACAAAAAAAACGAAGAGGGATAGCCCCGTCGAGCCCTCGACCTCTCCAGTTTTCTCCACGTTGCTCCGCTGCAATTGCTGCGTCGGCGCCCGCCGACCTCGATCCCCAAACCTTCGTAGTGTCAGTCCAATGTCGTAACCTATAGGGCTAAGCCCAAGCCTGAGACCAGCGCCTGCAGAGTACCATACAAGACGGTGCGGCGCGGTCCTTTGGGCCAGCAAAACGGTTGCGTGGCGCTTTGGACCAGCTTCGGCTTGCCTATACCATGCCATAATTGCCCCGCGCGCCATCCCACGACATCCCGCTCACCGTACGAAATCGCGCCGTTATAGCCGATGCCGTCATCGGGGTCGTTCTCCGCACGCATGCTCAACTTGGTCAAACGTAACCATCGGAAATAAGTATCCCCTAAAACCTAGTTTAATCAAGAATAAACAAAAGAGTAAAGTTACTAATAGAAACAAATCGACCGGCGTCCGCGCCGACTCTGTAATCAACGCTAGAAACGCAATCACGCGCGCCTCCAACCTGCGCGCCCACGCACTCTTTACTCTAGTCAGCCATCCTGTCAACGTAATCACAGACACTGCCGCGCCTAGCGCGACATACTTCAACTTTAAACTAAAACTATTTTCTGTCACCTGCAAAAAACCTGGGCGGATACCCTTGTAAGGGTATTCGCACCGACAGCCTTACCGGACCATATTAAGCGACGTCCCCGTCGCTTCGCCAAATCTGAAAGCTATAAATCCATT